TGTTCACATTGTCCAGCCCAGTACATAGGCCTAACAACCGAGACTCTCCGAAAACGCATGAACGGCCATCGACATGATGTTAAAACTAGCAAAGAAAAACCAGTTGCACAACATGCCTTATCCCACCAACTTCTATTTGATGACTGTTTCACCATAAAAGCTCTAAAATCATTGCCAAAGAACCAATGCAATAGTTCAATGCTCAGAAGATGGGAATTAGCTTACCAGTTTGTGACCAACTCCAGAACCCCACCTAACCTCAACATTAGATAATATCCTCATATCCTCACCCTCACAGCTAACTCTTAAGTATTTATTTTCATGGACAAAACTAATTTGCTTTTCAATGTACATATTATATGTAAATACAATATTGCAATGTGCCTGTATTTAGTGCTTTGTGCAGTGTCAGTTGGACAACCTGTCAGACATTTTGAATTCAAACTGTGTCATCCTATTTAAACTGTTGTTTTGTAACTACCATCTAGGCCTACTTCTGAAGAAGCCTCTGAAAGAGGCGAAATATTAAGTAAATTATGTGTGTGATTTTATGTGTTCTTTGACTCATCTGCAACCTTTCATCAGGTGAGTTAGCTGTGTCCTCTCCATCCTATATTTATTTATTTATTCATTTTTATAGTAATACTAGCTGTAACCCGCGGGCTTTGCCCCATTTAGGGGCGGTTCACGAGCTCGGGACTATCGTAGTCCGAGCCCAGAATCCGGAAATAACCGGTATTTGGGCCGCGACTTAAAAAATCGGGTTCACGAGCTCGAGACTATATAAGCCGCGGACCAAACTGATAGGCGGCACACAATTAGTGCAGGGATAAAACCCGGTTTTAAAAGTTGGGTTCACGAGTCTAATTACAGATAGTCCCGGCTTCTGATCATTAGTCCCGGTGGGTCCACGAGTCAAGTCCGAGCCCAAATGAGATGGTTGGGGCCCAAAAGAACAATGGTGTTTGGTCTCCTGGTAGGAGGCAGGTTTAAGGTGACATGATGCCGGTTTTATCTAATTAGCTCCTTTATTTTTATTATTTGTTAAAAACTAATGTTTAAATATGGTTCCTCATTAAATTCCGAACAATTTCATTACCCTAAACACTATATTAAAAAAATATGTAAAAATGGTAAAAAGGCTCATAAAACATGAAAAAAATCATCAAACAACTTAAAACGACAGATAAATTATGCACATAACAAAGTAGTATCGTAAGAAAGATATTTTTACTGATAAACCCCACATCATTACAATTTAAACGACAAAATTATGCGTAGAATATAAATATAACCATATAACTAATCAGCCACAGTTAAACCATCGTTATCCAACATAATTATCAAAAATAGTTTTTTGCAGTGGGAAACATCAAGCAAATCGTCAGTCGTTGAGTACGGTTCGCGGTGATATCACCGTCTTGTGTTGTAGGCTACTTACTGGTCGCCGTGTGTATTGAATATGACATGACTATGAAATATCTACAAGGTGTTTTTTTTTTAAGTGTGCCACCATTGGGATCTCAGTAACTAATGAGTTTACAGCAAACTTTAAGTGGGGAACATTCCCTTGTTTTTAAAGAGGTTCAAAAATAATTAAATAATTTTTTTGTAAATGGCTGCCATTTTCCAATACGGCGGTCAACTTTGAAATTTCTTATGGAACACCCTTATTTTATCATGTTTTCGGATAGAACATGCAATTTAAAAACTTTTTCATTCTTTACATTTTTTTGATAAACCCACTATACAGCCTATGGAAAAATGACTGCCTGTGTACATTTTACATCATGTAGCTACTAAACAAGTAGGTTTATTATTTCATAAATTGCCCTTTAAGGCCCTAATTCCTTTCTTAATGGAACTTTCCGTATACCTAATGTTAAAAATACCTCAGCTGTACTGATTTGTTTGTATTACTGTATTTTGTTTTGTTTATTTCAGCTTAACTTAACCAATCAATAATTTTATTATATAATAGTTATGAAGTCAAACGGGATGAAGCCCGTGGGTAACAGCTAGTGTGAATTAAAAACCATAGCTGCCAACATAAATAATATTACGAGCTAACTACAGAATATTATTTTAAACATTTTACAGATTATTAAAGAGTGTAAGAATAACGGAAAGAATATTCTTAGGTTACAGCCACGATTAAAACCAGCACACACATACGATTTTTATATCTAATAATCAGTACCTCTAAATACATTTTAGTTTCAGTAATTGTACCATTTAAATAAGTTTAGTTAAAATTATCCTATCCAAAAATCACCATCCTAAATTATCGGGCATTTATGCAAAATAGGCATTCATCCGGTTATAAATACCCGGTTATTTTATGTCAAGCATCTTAATTGAATTATAATAATGCATTCAGAAAAATATATTTCACTAAAGACTTCCATTATTTGATTTCATACAAACGTGGATTGTTGTGTTTATAAATCAATAAACTTAGATAGATTATCATAGGTGAGCATTGGACAATGAAATACGAGAAAAATAATCGTTTTGGACGTTTTGGTTCAGCCTTTTTTCACACGGACACGATCATCCTATTGTATGGAAGTGCGTATGTCAGCAGCAGTGGCTTCACATGTGTTTCCAGACTGTTGTTACTGGTTGTTACCAACGTTTCAACAGAAATTCCCTGCGAATCCCTGTCATTAGGCTCCGCTACGGATTTGGTCTCAACCTACACTGGGCCCGGCTTTCACATCATTAGGCTCTGACTCGTGAACCCGTTTTTTGGTCGGCGCTTATATAGTCCGGGACCAACGTCTGGTCGCGGACTATGAAGTCCCGAGCTCGTGAACCGCCCCTTAACTTCTTAATTTTCAAGATGATCTCGTTCGCATGGCTCAATCACGTCCTGGTTGAAGTTTGTTCGCTACGCTCACTCACCTTTAGGTTGGAGCTCGTTCGCTACGCTCACTCACCTTTAGGTTGGAGCTCGTTCGCTGCTCTCACTTGCCTTCAGGTTAGCTCTTTCGCTACGCTTAGCTCTTTCCAGATTGAAGTTTCTTTCACTACGCTCACTCACCTTTTGGTTGCAAATTAGCTGTTGTCATAAATGTAAAAGAAATAATAGTGCTGCACCCTGTTGGTAATCCTTGTAACTTTAATGCTATTAAACATCATAGAACAGAACCAACTTGTTTAATTGAAACAGCTGTTAAGATTCATTAATTCCATTTCTCACAAGGTTAACATGGGAAACTCCAGAGCCACTGGGGCGGAGCCCAGAGGTCGGAGGGTAAAATCCTTTCTTAGTGAGCGTCTACTGCCCAAAAGGAAGATGCCTGCAAGTTTCAGGTTCCTAGGTCTTATGGTTTCTCAGATTTCGTGATGAGTGAGTGAGTGAATGAATGAATGAATGAGTAGGTGGTATTTGAGCTTTATATACGAGTATATAGATCAATTTAATAAAATGAGAAAAATACTGGAAGCCCTGTACTAACTGTACCCATTTTTTTACAAAAAAAAGAACAAATAAAATAGGTAAGGACAAAAATTGATTATTTTAAAATGTTACATTGGTTAACATGAGAATTATTAACCTTAGTAGAGTTCCAAAGCTGTGATTGGAAAATTCTTTGGAGTCTTAATAACATAAATATTTGCTCGGTAATATTCGATATTCAAAAATATTATGAAGTATTTGATTCGATTCGAACCCAAAAATCACTATTTGCACACCCCTACTTTAATCTAATAATTTGGTAATAGTACAAGAACAACAGTATTTTCAATATTCTTCATAAAAAGTAACGTTCATTGTTTGTAATAAAACTACTATAATTCAACCAAAGCCTTTGCATACAGATTTGTCATTACAAGCACGCTGATATTGTGTTACAATCATTACTGAAATCAATAAATAAAGGTATATTTGCCATTAAAATAATTGTTGGGGGAATTTCAATATATTTGGGAGTACGAGGTGGGTTGCTGGTGCGATTTAGGCAGTTGAGAGTGGGAATGTGTTCACATATAGACGGATCCACCATAACACTCTTGTAGCAATAAATAATAAATACTTTTTATACTGTCACCTTGAGTTACCTACAGTTAATCTGTCGTAACCAATTGCACGATGAGATCTATACTTAAGTTTTATAGTCGTTGGCCAACGAAAAGGAGTATTCAAATATAAATGTGAAATAGTCTCAATGGCAAATATACCGTGGTAGGAATCCAACACACATTTTGGCACATTACTTGAATTGAAATAATTGTATTCAATATTTAAAGTTGGTTTCATAAATACATATTTGGATTTCTTAATTATCTGCTGGTTCTCATTTACCTTTTGTTATTTCAGTTCTGGTACTAGTATACTTTAATTCAAACAGGTTTTTGTAATAACATTCATTAAGAAGCCACTACAAAAGATATACCTTGAGTACAACACTATATTTAGTATGGTAGTGTGCAAAAATAGAGTCAGTGTAGTTTTAAGATTGTTTCAGTTTTTGTAAGAATTAAACAGTACCAAGGACGTCCCATAACGACTTCTGGGGATAATTTTATTATACAGGGCCCACTGAATTTTTACTTAACATCAAGCTTCCACTACCAACGCTCTGTTGAAATATTTTTATCCACTTTGTTCTTCCAACCTAGCGGCAATCAAAATTTGAAAAGAATAATCAATTTAGAGGTGTGAATTAGGCAAATTCTTTATTTTCTTTACACATTGTCATCGTCTCCCATGGTCACAGAAACGTATTCGTCGTCTTGTGATCACGGCAATAGCGGTAATTTACCAATCGCGCAAATTTGCAGATGAGTCGGGAATCGTAAAGGAAATCGACTTTTTGTGCTCGAATCTCGATTCTGATTCCAAAGCCAAGAATTGGTGAAATCGAGAATCCACTTTTGGAAACGACCCATCCCTAGTATTTATACATAAAAAAAGCAAACACTCCTTACCAAGATCAATTGACATACTTTTAGCCTACATAAAGAATCAGTCGTAGCACTAACAGACTTACTGCAGTGTAGAAGGTTAAAACTGTTGATCTGTGAACATATGTAGTTTTGCTGGGGAACACCTTTAAACCCTGTGACAGCAAACAAGTCTACTTCCTTCACTAACAGCTGGATGTGGCCATTGCTGGAACTGCTGGCATCTGGATTCTGTTGACAGAAATAAAGTCATAAAGTGGTACTTTAGCTTAATGTTATGAATTATGTATTAGTAATTTATTAGTAATTTATTAGTAATTTTAAAAGACAACGTTCCTTTGACTAGCTAATCTGTGTTCATTATCCGGTTGTGAATTTCCTGATTATCGTCCACTAAAGATGAGTGAGTAGACCAAGTGTTGGGGGCGTAATGGGTGAAAATGAAAATAATTAATAACTCGAAGGACCAGAACTAATTAATAGTTCAAGAGAAAAATAATTAAATTAGAGAAAATGGCGAATCTGCAATTTGAAGGGCACTGAGGTCCCGAGATGGAATAAAATGTCTTGTGAGGGGCAAATGAGATTAGTTTTAGAGTCTAATTAAAACACACACAAAACTTTAAGGTTGTACCTTGAGTCCAATTGTCCAAAGGTGGAGAGTATGGCAGCGGCGTCGTCTATGGTGGAGCGATGGCGGATGGCGGAGTCCTTAGACCGAGTGCTTCTGTTTTGTAGAATTTTGGAGTACGCAACGCACCCAAGTTCATAATCACAAAGAGCTCACTAATACGCGGAAGTCACGGTGAAAACGTACGGAAAGTCTAGAAGTAATACACGGACGCGCACACACTGTCTTGAGGTTTGAAGAGTCTGAAAGCACTAGATCACAATTTAAGTAATTTAATCACAAACAAAAGGGGGAGATTAAAATGTATATATAGTTAAATGTACTATAGAGGAGAGGGAGGCCAGATATAATTAATCTATAGCCTAAAAATACGTTTAAGAGAGGTAAAATGGGCAATTAATGTCCCGAGATACGAGAAACGGAATACACCGTGAGTTATGGACGCCGACCGTGGACAGACAGACCCGATCGCCGGTTTCACACTTTTAAAAATGCAATTGCGGTTTAGAGGGGTCTAGGAATTCGATGGCCAATAGGAAATGCGATTGAAGCAAACACGGCGTCAGGTGATTCATGGGTATGTAGTACAGGAAAATAGGCCTTACTGTGGCGGGAAATTCGAGCAGGCTTAGCAATCTCATTTGAATATTGAAAGCGGGAGTCTATTTACAATAAATTGTTACTGAGACTAAATAATATTACAATAAATGTGGTGATTTATATACACATTAGCATGATTAATTAACCAGTGACTTAATTAACATAATGATTAATTTCTAAATACTCTAAAAATATGAATACCGAACATTCCGGCCCCCTTGAAGCATTACAGCTTCAACAGACAATTAATTAAAAAACACAAGAGCAAACGTAAACCACACTTAATTCTAATATGTACATAGAGTAGGTTTCTTGGACTTAGTCTTCATTGCATGGCAGAGGGAAGACCTTGTGAACAGGCCGTGTGAAAGTCCCAGAAGCTGTCTTCACTGTGACGACTCGAACTGTTCCATCAGCGCCAGGGTGAGTGGAGATAATGCGTCCAAGAGGCCAGGTGAGTGGAGGTGAATTGGAGTGAATGAGCACCAAGTCTCCGGTCTTCAAATTCTCATGAGGGGTGGTCCACTTGGATCGCTGCTGGAGGGAGTGGAGATATTCAAGCTGCCAACGCCTCCAGATACGCTGGTGAAAAGCCTGGACAAGCTGCCACTGACGAAGACGATTGAAGGGCACTTCAGACAGGTGAGGTTCCGGCAGGGCAACTAATGGAGCTCCGATGAGGAAATGTCCAGGGGTCAGCACAGAAATTTCGGAAGGGTCTGAACTAAGAGCTGTAAGAGGGCGCGAGTTTAGCATTGCCTCTACTTGAATGGACAAAGTTTGAAATTGGGTTAAAGTTAAAATGGTTTCACCAATTACCCGTTTCAGATGGTATTTTGCACTTTTAACGGCACTTTCCCATAAGCCACCTTGATGAGGTGCAGAGGGGGGGTTGAAATGGAAGTTAATTCCTTTGGGTGTGGTGAAATGAACAATTTTGTCCTGCGAATCAGGTGTAAGGATGGTTTCACGGATTACCTTGCGTAATTCCGAGTTTGCACCAACAAAGTTGGTTCCGCAGTCAGAATACAGATCGGAACAGAGTCCGCGTCTCGACACAAAACGTGTGAGAGCGGCAATGAAGCCTGAGGTGGTAAGATCGGTGACTACCTCTATATGAATAGCTTTGGTAGCCATGCAGATAAAAATACACAAATAGACCTTAATCTGTCTAAGAGCTTTGAGACTGCAAACACGAACACTAAATGGTCCGGCGTAATCTACGCCTGTAGATGAGAATGGACGAGTAGGATTGACCCGATGAGCAGGTAAATCACCCATTAGAGGAATTTTGTTTCGTGGTTTATTTTTAAAGCACACAAGACACTTAAATATGCGCGAGCGGATAACGCTCCTGGCCGATAGAATCCACACTTTTCGGGCGAGTAGTGATTGAGTTAGTTGCGGACCTGAGTGCAAGTGTACCTGGTGGTAAAAGTCTATAAGCAAATTCACTACAGTATGAGACTTGGGTAGAACAATAGGGTGACGTATGTCATGAGCAAGCGAACAATGTGACAATCGGCCACCGACGCGTATGAGACCATTAGGGTCGAGGAAGGGGGTGAGTTTCTGTAATTGTGCAGAACATATTGAGCCTTTGTTCAATAATTTAATATCCGCACTGAAATGGAGTTTTTGCACTAGTTTAAAAATTGTCACTTCCGCTAGATTTAATTCACTGAGTTTTAAGTGTCCAGAGAGTTTGTTTTTAGACCTGGAATAGTTTATGAATCGTAGTACATAAGCTAGCACACGGGTTAGTTTCAACCAAGATGAATATTTAGACAATAAGTCCCATTCCGAAGGGGCGACTGTTGCACTAAGTACACTAAGAGGAGTTTCTTTAATTTCGTCCGTGGGAGTGAGTTCAGACGGCGAAAAACATGAGGGGGGCCAGTTGGCCGCAGGGAGCTGTAACCATGGTGGGCCAGTCCACCATAAGGGATGGTCAATGAGAGATGAGGCTAGAATTCCTCGTGAGGCACAATCAGCGGGGTTTTCCGTCCCTTTTATGTGCCGCCACTGATAACTGGGAATGATTTCTTGCACTTGGGCTACACGATTAGCCACAAAGGTCTTTAGTCTGTATGGAGGGGTTTGTAGCCAAGTAAGAACTACAGATGAGTCACTCCACAATACAGTGGTATTCGTAGTAAGAGAGTTAAATTGTTTTTCACAATAATGCACTAGTTTTGATAAGAGGTGAGCTGCACACAATTCCAAGCGGGGTAAAGTTACCTTTTTTAACGGGGCAACACGAGTCTTAGACAATATTTGTTTCACAATGACTGTTTTGTCACTAGATTCACACCGGAAATACACTACCGCGGCATAACCGCATTCCGATGCATCACAGAAACCGTGAAGCTCGATATCAGAGGAGTGAGCGAGCGGAAATGCTCGGGGGATCTTAATTTGACCGAGGTGGTCTTTAGTGTTACTAGTGAACACATGCCACTTATGTGCGAGATCAGAAGGGAGAGGGTCGTCCCAATCAAGACCTTGAGTCCATAGTAATTGCATGAAGCATTTTGCTACCATGATTAATGGGGACAAAAATCCACAGGGGTCATATAGTTTGGCAATAAAGCTGAGCACGGAGCGCTTAGTCAGCTTTTCAGACGGGGGGTTGAAAGCGTAACAGAAACAGTCTTCTTCAGGAGACCAATGGAGACCTAGGATGGAGTACTGGGGAAGCTGAGCGTCTTGCAGGAAACTTGGAGTCTCTAGATGTTCCGAAGGAAATTTTTCTAGAAGAGCAGAGGAGTTGGAGGCCCACTTGCGAAGTTCAAAGCCACCACGATGTAGAAGTTGGATAAGTTGGTCCTGTAGTTCAAGAGCAGCCTCAACGGAGTCAGCACCCGTGATAATGTCGTCCACGTAGGTGTGATGACGTAGAGAGTGAGAAGCCTGAGGGAAGGCATCACCTTCGTCTTCCGCTAACTGCATTAAAGTTTTAATAGCAAGGTAGGGGGAGCTGTTCATGCCGTAGGTGACGGTAGTAAGTTGAAACGTAGAGATTTCCTTTGAAGGGTCGTCACGCCACATAATCAGTTGAAACTTTTGATCGTCAGGGTGCACTTGTATTTGGCGGTACATTTGCCGAATGTCACATGAAAACACAATTTTATGAGAGCGGAAGTTCAAAATTACGTCACAAATGTCAGTTTGTAATTTACGTCCTGTCAAAAGAATATCGTTTAAGGAGTGACCGGAACTGGTTTTGCTACTGGCGTCAAACACTGTCCTTAAATTGGTCGTGCTAGAGTCCTTCAGTACCCCATGATGAGGTAGGAAGTAGTGTGGGTGTATGTCTTCAACAAAATCTAGTTTTGTCATATGGCCGAGAGTTTGATATTCAGACATGAACGTCTTATACAAGTGTGAAAAATGGGGTTGAGCTTTAAATTTCTGCTCAATAGACAACAAGCGCTTTTCAGCAATGGGCCTAGATTGGCCTAGAATGGAGGGGTCCGTCTTGAACGGAAGTCGCACAACATAACGACCTGATTGATCACGAGAGTGTGATTTTTTTATAGTATTCATCACAAAGAAGCTCTTCCTGTGACTTAACCTGGAAGTGAGGGGGTTCCTCCTGTTGCCAAAAACGTTGCAGGGAAGAGTGTAGTAAATTATCACTAACAGAGAGAAGAGAGATCGCAAAACCTGACACGGGTTCCGAGTTAGTTGCACAGGGAGCTTTACCCATCAGAATAAAGCCAAGATGAGTACCTATCACATGAGGCATGTGCGTGCCGAGGGAGTAACTTTCATGAGTCCAGAGGAGGGGTAGCAGAGAACTACCTATAAGCACGTCAATGCCACCAGGCAAGTGAAAAGTAGGATCAGCTAGAACATAGGGCTTGATTTTTGTTAGCACTTCCGGTGATATAGGGGAGCGAGGTAAGTCGACGGAAATCTTATCAAGAATATGGAATTGATGGTCAGTGGCTATTACTCGACCTGAGAGAGTTTCAAGATTCAAGTAAGTTGACCC